CCGTTCATAAAACAGTGACAATCTCCATAGTATGGTGTCTGATGTTTTAAAGATTCAATTTAGACAATTTCTCAGATGAAATTTACTTCAGTTGTTTTTGGCACACGCCCTGTATGTTATACTTCGAAGATCAAGATGAAAGGGATTGGCACTTGTCAGAAACAAATGCAAGACTTACTGATGGAATAACATTATTTTCTTACTTGATATCGCTGCACAAAATAGAAGGCAGAAATATTTGTCGATTTACTAAAATGAGATTGACTGCTAAAGTGATTTAAGTACTTATATTACTTTTAACGCTCGACTTGGCAGGTAATACTTCTGATGTTCGACCAGAAAAAATATTCATAAGAAAATATATCTTTCTTTTCATTCACTCTAAATAACGGTCATAATCGTTCGTTCCTCAACTGGGAAGGGTTTAGCACAAAGATATTTTGATGTATTGCAGTAAACAGGAACATATAAGTATCTAGAATATCATACACGCACATCGCAGCATTTGCTTGGAACTAATTATCAATAACTTATTAAATCAGTCGTAATTTTACGATATCTGTTATATTGGTTGGTTGGTGGATATTTGTACCTGGTTTGGTCATTTAATGTCGGAATATTCTTATTATTATTTTATGAGCTGTGTCCCCTCAGGACATCAGAGATCATGGCTATTCACAACTTCCTATACTCTGTAGCTGCTAGCAATGATTGTATTTTTACTATTCCTCCAATTCTCTGTTCTGCCATCTCTTTATACAACCTCGTTCGGTTGGTTGGTTGTTTTTGTTTAGCGGCATATCAACACCTCTATGGGTTATTTAATGACGAAATGTATATATTTTGAATACAATTTTATGGCTTCAGCTAAATATGTTTTGATCATAGTTTCATGCTGTCAACGATCATTGTTAGGGATGCATTGACCTGGAGCCGCAGAATCTTCATTTTCCGTGTTCAAAAGCGTTTACGCGGCGTTGTCCTTGATGAATTATTTCCCACCCTACAACCCGTTTCCTATTGATGAAACGTTGCTCGCCTCTTATAACTTTACTTTCATTACAAATCTTCAAAAGAGCAACATTCCATGGTTCAAGCATTTTAGACCTTCACGACTAGAACCCATTACGCCACGTACACAGGGTCAATTCCTATTCCTCTTTATTCCCTTCGTATTCACTTGGTAAGTTTCTTTCCAATACGCTTCCTCGATGACTACAATCTTAACCTCTTCAAATATAGATACAATATAAATATTTTATATCCTACATGTCCAGTAAACTACATCCGGTAAACCACATCCGGTAGCAAGGCAACTGATCGTGAGATTGGGAGTTTTGAAGAGCTTGGAAATGTTTCTTTTAGAGCTTCTGGCGAGAATACCAAGCAGTACAGCATGGCCTTTCCAAATATCTGGCGGTTTGAATTGCGTCATGGTGCACTTTTTTCTCACAGACAGTGTCCAACTGACTCTATTATATTGTGCAGTCGGCAAAACCTAAAACAAACAGTGAGCATGCTCAAAATTTAAATATATTATGGCAGCAATTCACCCATCGTACCCTGTATAATTCTAGGGACCAGACATTATTTTAGCTTTTTGAAGTCCTTCTAGAGAACGAAATACGTTACACAGATATTTTCCAATTAAAATGTTCTTAAAATTGTTATGATATATAGAAATTTATATATCATATTCACACACACACACACACACACACACACACACACACACACACACATATACATACATATATATATATTATGAAATGGACAAAGTCCGACAATTATTTTAAAAACATTTTATGTTTATACATTCTTTTTATAGATACAAATATTTAAGTAAATGCTCTGTTTATAACAAACAGAATTAAACAACATTTACCGGCCTGAATGTTGTCCAATACTGTTTATTATAAACAGAGCATTTACTTAAATATTTGTATATATAAAAAGAATGTATAAACATAAAATGTCTTAAAATAATTGTCGGACTTTGTCCATTTCATAATGTGTGACGTCATTTGTTTACATTTGATACGCTATGAGCAGATATGAATGTACGTGAGAGATTCATGGATGATTGAAGTTTAAATGCAGTAAATTCGTCCTTGCAAATCGAGAGATCCTCTGTGGCCGAATCGGTTAAAAGGCACGTCAGGCTATATGACGGTTCCGTATAGGATACAGGTTCGTATCCTGTCGGAGGACGAATATTTTCTATGAAAATTTCTCGGACATTCAGGTCGGTAAATGTTGTTTAATACTGTTTATTATAATCAGAGCATTTACTTAAATATTTGTATCTATAAAAAGAATGTATAAACATAAAATTTCTTAATAATTATATATAAATATTTCTTCGGTTAATAGATTAGGCGAAACAAATTTAAATTTTGACCGAGCCAGTTTGCTTAAACCGACTTTCTTGGAAGAAGAAGTGTACCTCTGCTAACAGGTTATAGATTTCACGGTCTGATAATGGTATTATAGAACTCATAAAAACATGTCGCATGTTAACGTGAAATCAAAAACAACGTTTCAGTATAAACCCCAAAGAAATTTCATGAAGAATTCAAAAAAGAAACCTAGTCGAACTGTTTGTTTCTAAGGGTAATTTATAGTTGACCCTGATTTTCGATTTTTCGCTCTTTGAGAACTCGGCCAGAATATCGGAGAAACAAAGTGTTTTTATTTTCCTATTTTTAAAATTTGACCTTTCAGAGAGGGTTCGGATTATTGAAAATGGCTTGTCTGTTCTGGTGTTAGTCCAAGTCTCACATCTGACAGATTTCAAATCCCCGTGAGGAAAAGAATTTTTGCTATAATGCTCTTGAGTAAACGATTTAGCATCATTCATAATACATCAACTGCTGTATTTGTCTGCCAGTATCTCTGCGGAGATTCAGATTATTGACATTCAAGAGAAATGGCTCTCTAAGTGGAAGAAAATTCTTCCATGAATCGAAAGGCTAAAGTTTGTGCTACTCTTGGTCAAATTCTACCTTCATTTCTGACTCGTCAAGTAAGAATGTTATTTCACTATCTACCAGTGTGTACTAGAATACTGTTCATTCGTCATGATGGTACGAAACGATCATTGGGTCCCTAAATTAAACAGTAAGCCCCTTATGAGACTGGCATTACGTTACACTTAAACAGCAGAGAGTTAATTCCATTTATTGGTATTAAACTCATCCATATATGAGTTTGCGGGGGTGTTTTTAAGGATTTGGATTGAATTTGGATATATATGTATGCGTATATACACGTTAATAATACCTACTCGCATATCTGTCTATACAAACGTACCCTTAGATATCTACATTCAAGCACATATAGATACGCTAGCCGGAATGTGTCGACAAAACACGAATGTTAGGATGAAAACATTTTCGAAAGATTATAAGAGGAGTATAGTTAAGTTAGAAAAGCTCAGCTATTATATATATAATGCAAGTAGCGTCCTTCGCGAGACGCGGACGTCACGTGATATGGAACGTCACTGTTCGGATATTCCTAACTTAAATCTAACTGTCATAAATATTTAAAAAAGAATTTTTACTATATCTAAAAAAATTGCTTAACTATTGAAATATTTATAAAGATTTAAAACACCTAAGTCCCTATTCAACCCTAGTTTATGTGTATTTAATTTTAAAATCCAATATGTTTCTTTTTTCTGCGTGTGAATGTGGAAGTAAAATCGGAATCTATTAATAAATATTTGCAGTTTTCTAATATGTGTCCTGATTGATTGTAGTGTTTAGCTTGCTAACAAACAGTAATTTTAATTTATTTGTAACAAACAGTTATTTCTGATGAAAAATTGAGGACAATTTGAAATATCAAATATATATATAAATAAATAAATACTTTCATAAAATAAAACATTATAATTTTTTATTTGAAACTTTTTCTCTATATACATATTAAGAAAGTATACGTGGCTTCTCATTATTATATATATATATATATATATATATATATATATATATATATATATATATATATATATATATATATCATCCCCATAAGTTCTATCCGAATTTTAACTTTTTGTTAAAATGAACGAAAGTTAAAGAGTATTTTACAATGTCTAATGGAGCTGAACATTATTTTTATGTTTAGATGCAATTAAACTGATCAAATTTTATTTCAGAGAAAAATAAAATAAAATTTTGTTTGATTAAAACCATGCTAACATGGAAGTACCCAAGAATCATTTGAGGCACATAATGCTTTATGATTTCAAGAAAGGAAACTCAACAGCCAAAGCGACTAGAAACATTCACTCAGTTTATGGAGAGGAATGTGTGAATGAAAGAAATTGCAGAATGTGGTTTGCAAAATCCAGAGGTGGAAATTTCACCCTTGAAGATGAAGATCGAAATGGACGTCCAGTTGAGTTTGATGAAAAGCTTCTTGAAGCAGCCCTTGAAGAAAATACTCCTTTATCAGTTGATGATTTGGCAGTGGTTCTCAGTTCAAACCATACAACTCTTCATCGTCATCTTCAACAAGTTGGAAAAGTTCCTAAACTTGGAAAATGCGTGCTTCATGAATTGTCTGAAAACAACCTCAAATCTCGAGTTGACATCTGCTCTTCTCTGCATTCTCGCCAACTTGTTTCACCTTTTTTGGATAGACTTGTGACTGGCGCCGAAAAATGGATCTTTTATCGAAATGTTACGCGTCGTAGACAGTGGCTTGGTAAAGGGGAAGGACCTCAGCCACAGCCGAGAAAGGAACTTCATGGGCAAAAGGTTCTTCTTTCAATCTGGTGGGTTCGCCAAGGAAGAATCCACTTTGAATTCTTACCACCTAATGCAACAATTAATGCTCAAATATACTGTCAGCAATTAGAGCATTTGAACCAAGCTTTGAGGAAAAAAGACCTGCTCTAGTGAATCGAAAAGAGGTGATGTTTCATCAGGACGATGCGCGACCCCACACAGCAAGAATCACGTCACAAAGATCGAAGAACTTGGTTGGGAGAAAATTTGCCATCCACCTTATTCTCCCGATCTTGCTCCTTCAAACTACCATTTTCGTCATTTCTTTCTTGTTTCTCTAAGAAAACAGCTTTTGTAACAGAATCATTTGTGAGTTCTTTTAATGAAAGCAAAAAGCTTTTACAGTAATGGAATTAAAGATTGTTAATAGAAGAAGGAGTCATTCTTTCTTTCTAACCATTGGAATCTATAATTAAATTTAACATTTGGTCAGTTTTCTTTATTCTAAATTCGGACAGATCTCATTTTCTCGAATATATAAATATATATAATATATATATATATATCGTATAGAGAAAACGTTAAATTCCTTCCCCTTATTAGTAAGATTAACTGATTCGATCCTGGCTTCCTTCTAACGGACATCTAGATCCACCGAAGAGCTGTGATTCAGCAAACACTCTGTCTGTTTATGATTATATATAAAATTTAGGGATCAGCCGATTCCAAACCTTTCGGTATCTTTCCATTGTTTCAAAAAAAAACAAAACAATTTATGAATTGAATCTATTGTAAGAAGGTAAGAAGACATGAAGTTTAAAAAGTAAGAATGAGGGAAAAGCATTCTTTCATGTACTTTTCATTCCTTTTTTCTTTTTATCATTTTTCTCAATCTCATTTCCGATTTTCATTCTAAATTCTTGGACAAATTTTGAATTATGGGATATATATATAATAATTATATATATATATATATATATATATATATATATATATATATATATATATATATATTTTTATAAATAATATATCTGCTATATATAATTGTTGGTTATTGGCCGTATATACCAATTATATACTTGTATATATATATATATATATATATATATATATATATATATATTATAAATTAATTGATTTAAAAATATGGTTATTTTCGCTACACAGTTCCAACCATGTTTCAAAAATAGAAGCTAAAAACCCTAATTTTATTTTTGCAAATAAATTAAAAGCATTAGTTCTATTTCATCTTCAAGCGAATTTTGGAGTAACTTTTAAAATTTACCGGGTTTTAAATACACAGCTAAAAATCCATGGTTTCACTGAATTTCAGAAAATTCTTTCAAATTGTTACCTAGATTTTCCTTATGACAGTATCATTGTATCAGTTATTAGCTACATTTTGGTAGGGTGAGGATGTATTTTACACTGAAACCTGACGTCTTGAATGGATGTCGTCTGAATTTAAAAAAAAAAAAAAAAAAAAAAAAAAATTAACGGTAAAAAATTTTCAACGTCATCTTTTTTAAAGATTTTTTTTTTTTTTTTTTTTACTTTTATTTAACTACGATTTGAAATATTTTCCTTTTTATTTTTATTTTACTATATTCTTTTTTAAGAACAGTTAAATGTATTAGAATCCATTATATTATGTAGGATTATTTTAACATTAAGTTTATCCTTTTTTTTTTTTTTTTTTTGTATATGACTATGACAGCAGAAATGGTTACTTAATTTCACTGATTCAGTAAACTTTTCTTTTATCCTATTATTATAATATTTCACATGTAAGTACTGAGGACATGGGTCATTCAAAAAGCTTACATGTTATGGTATTTCATATTAATTTTATTTTACTTAGGTGTTATTTTTTTAATTCTTTTTAATGCGTGTAGTATTATTTTAAAAATTTAGGTTAGAATTCATTCAATTTAACTACAATTTTAATTACAAATTCAAAATTACAACTTTAAAATTTTAAAATATTTTCATTGTTTAGTTTTAATAGACTATATTACTTTATAACAGAAGGAAAATTACTCATATTAAGTAAGATTATTTTTCCATATCAAAGTATATGTTTAATTTATTTATTTTTTTATTTATTTATTTTTTTTTTTTTTTTTTTTTTTCCTTTTCTTCTCTTTAAATTTAAATATTATTTAAGTAATATTAATGGCAAAAAACTAGCTAAGTCATTTCTCAGATTTAGTAAACTTTATTTATTTATTAATTAATTAATTTATTTATTTCAAATATATGTAACCTAATTAATAAAGTTTCATATGTATGTATAAATAACATGTTAGAATTCATTTTATTTTACTACAATTTTAATTTCATTTAAAATTTTAAAATTATAACTTTAAAATTTTAAAATATTTTTCATTGTTAGTTTTAATTTAAATATTACTTTAAACAGAAGGATAATTACTCATAGTAAGTAAAAAAATTTTTTCCTATCAAAGAACGTAAATTACAATTTTAAACTTTTAATTTAGATATTATTTAAGTAATATTAATATTTGAACTACAAAACTATCTTTGCACCTTTATGTATTAATTCAAGTTTAAGTATATATGAGGTTACATTTTTTTTTTTTTTTTTTTTTTATATATATATATAAACCTAGTGATATAATGTTTCTCATGTAAGTACAAAGGACATGGGTCATTCAAAAGCTTACATCTTATGGCATTTCATATTAATTTTATTTTTTACTTTTTTGGGATTCTTTTTAGTGCGTGTAAATTATTTAAAAGA